AAGATCAATAAACCTGTTTTCTTTCAGGGTGAAGCCGGTCCAAAAGGATATGCCGGAAAAGATGGAGAACCCGGAGACAGGGTACCCATGACAATCTGAATTTCATAATAAACCCTTTTAGCGATTTCTTTTACGCTGTGTTAGCCTCAAAACCATGTAATAAGTTCTTTTATTCACAACAGTCCGTGCAAATGCAAGGGGCTGAAAGAGATCTGCGAGAATAGAAGACAATGGAAATAGTTTGAAATCTCACGAGTTTTATCTACATTTCTGAATATTTTAGCACACAATTGAGGCTAACACAGCGTAAAAAAGATCGCGAAACTCAACTATTGGCAAATCCAGACTCACACTATTTTTGTTTATGAAGGGTAAYACTGGACCGCCAGGACCTCAAGGTCCTGTTGGACCCCCCGGAGCACAGGTGAGTAATTGATACAGCGTTGTCTCGCATCGACAATCAATTCTCATTTAATGGTATTTCTCAGGGACCTCGTGGACAACGCGGTTTACCTGGAGAGCAAGGTGTTCCGGGCGCTCCTGTAAGTACAACTTCTTCAGACGTTTCGTTTAATAGTGCTAAAATGCCCTTTTTCTCATCTTTCCTGTTTGTATGTCTTCTAGGGTGATGTAGGACCGCAAGGMATTACTGGTCCTCCCGGAGCTGTTGGCGCAGTTGTAAGTTATATTTATTTAATAACATTCTTAGAGTGGGGTCCTTAATAAAGAATCACAACCAACCGCCGTAGCTTGTGCCATTTTAGGTGAACACGAAAATGGCGGATTCGTAGGATTTCTTAAAGTGAGCGCGAATCGTCTTTGTCTCATCCTTTCCTTTCAGTTTGGATAGAAATGCTTTTAACTGATTACCTCAAAGGTACTATCAATCTATAATCTATTGTATGCTTGACGCATTTAAACGTATGTAAACGATAATACAAGCGCGCGCTGCATTGTGGTTGGTTAGGATTCTTTAAATCCCAATAAAACAAAATTTGAACATTAAAGAAATGAATCC